AGTCGTTTTAGCTAGAGTATACAAGATAAGGGAATTCTTCTTGAGGATATAATTATCATTATCGTCATCAATGGATCTCTCTATCATAGATTCCTACATGCACACTGTCTTCTCATCGATATATAAATTTATTACGTTTCTCATATAATTTTTCTGAATTACGTGGCTTATACAATTCTTCTGAAACACGTGGCTCGTACAATTTTTCTGAAGCATGTGGCTGTTGGCTCTATGCCAGAGATAGACATGCCTCGACAAGAATCATAACACGGTCGAGGCACAGGGCAATGTATAAACAAAGACCACGCGCCTGCTCTTCGTCGCCAGAAGCGAACGGCATATAAACATATACCTCGTAGCCTACAGCAGTGATTACGAACCTCTTGAGCTCGTTGTGTCGAAATTCATAACAAAGCACACCTGTCTAGAAATATTCATAATTTTACGCCATGTGTAGTATCTATTCTATATTCACATATATTATCGGTATATTAATTAAAAAGGTAAAACAAATAATTCTTTACGTTAGTGTTCTTCTTGTTGGTGAATTTCATTTGTTAAATTTTCAATTGAAGGTCGGTATCGTGCACACTACAAGCATTGACAGTCGTTATTAATTTCTTCTGTTAGTTAGTTCCTTTTGTTTAACACTAGGCTTACGGGCGCTATCTGTATATCTGTTTCTAAGGACACCTGTCAAATTGACAAGTAAAGGAAACCACGTGTCTTTCTTTTTAACGATTAGTTTAATTCAAAAACAATTATATATTATATTAACTGTCTTAATATAAATTAACTAAATCTGTTACCATCGTATAATTGTAGCAACCCTTCTGTCAAATTGACGGGTTCTATAAATCTAGTGTTAAATGTGTTGTAGGAAATTAGGTTTCTTTTATTCTAATCTTAAAGTTCTGATATACGTCAAATTGGCTCCGAATCATTAGCGATGACATGACGTGTAGGAGTGATACTAAATTAATTTCTCTTCTAGCAATTATTATTCTCCTATTATTGCGCTCGACGATTTTTTGGCTAAAGGAGGGTACGAGATGAAAAATATTCTGTTGTGCAGTTGTTGATATTTTTTGCGCAGGAAATAAGAAATCGTATAATAATTGACAAGTAGAATTATTTGCACACTGTTACATTAGTTTAAATTTGATATATTAATTAATATCGAGCTTCGAAATTTTATCAAATGGTGACTGAAGGGCGCATCTCGAGTGCATTGTTTCATTAAAATGCATTGTTTCACCATTGCTCGGTATTTCGAAGTAAAATTCGTTATCCCAGTCGTATTCCCAATGAATAAATATTGTTTTCGAAATCTTCTAACTATAATAAAATTGTCTAGGCAGTAACAAATGAGTCGTTCACTGCGCAAGTCGATTAACTCCCCTTTTTGAAAGAACGGCTCAAATAACAGCGAGTAGAATATAGTAGAATATACCTTCGTCTATAGATAAATGAAACTGTCACTACCAGTGGGTAAAGTGTTAACTTTATGAGATTAACCCTTTCAGTCGGCGTTTGATAAAATTTCGAAGCTGGATATTAATTAATATATCAAATTTAAAATAATAGAATAGTGTGCGAGGTACCGAAATTAAATAATTCTACGTGTTAGTTATTATACGATTTTGTATTTACTGCTCAGAAAATATCATCAGCCTTATAGCATGAAATTTGTCAACTCGTACCCTTCTTTAGCCAGAAAATCGTCGAGCTCGAGATATTGACAATTGACAAAACAGTACCGAGTACAGTTATCATCACAATACTGTAGGTGTTGTACTAATTTCTTCAGTGATGATTTAAATTCCTCAGCAACTCTACGATAATCAATGTATAGATCAGTTATGGCTAGAGGTATTTACAATTAACGGTGCTTAATACGTCCACCAACAGAGCACTGTAGCCACTGAATTAACCAGTTAACAGATGATTGAAATTGTAAAAGGGTTAGCCCTTTGCACTCGAGAGGTGACCTTCAGTCACCATTTCCTAAAATTTGAAAGATCGATATTAACTAACATATCAAATTTAACGTAACGTAACAAATAATTCTACAATTCTATTATTATACAATTTATTTACTGCTCGAAACAGTATCGTCGGTTTTCTAGTAGAGAATCCTTGAATTTCTACTCTTCTCTAGCCAAAAGTTCGTCGAGTGCAAAGGGTTAAAATGCCAAGAGTGTGGATCCGCGAATCGAGAGATGCCGAAGCATCGGGAGCCCTCGGTAGCCCCGCTGACGTTCCCGCTCGTTACTTTCTACTCGGCAGCCGCCCCTGGCCCCGCCGTCATCCATCTCACGGTAACCATGCTGCATCCTCATCCTCGGTCGCAATTACCGGCACACTTTTTCAAACGGCCGGCCAAATCGCGGCGAATTAATCCCACTCGCGGCGTTCCTCTCGCGTCCACGCCTCTGCCTGCCTGGCCCATCGTGGTCCACCTAACGCGGCCCAGTGACCCGAAAAAAGCCAAGCTTTGCCCGCGATCGCGGCCGTTCCGTGGCCCGAAACTGGCCACGGATCCGCTCCTCGGGGTCCTCTTCGCGTCGTCAAAGACACCGACCACGTGCAGGACGAGGAGAGGTGGACCTCGACCAACCGCAAGGGTTCTCTCTGTCTCCTCTCCGCGTGTCCTCTCCATCCGCTGCTCCCGTTAATTATTCTCGCGTACTTTTCGCTCGCCGCAACCACGAATCATTAATCACGCGTGACACGCCTGTGCCAGCCGATCTAATTATCGGCTGAAAGAGCACGCGGATATGGCAAGCTGCCTGCCTGCGGGGTAACGCGTGCTCGACAGGTGGAGCGATGTGTGTGTGTACGCGTCTAGGGACCTGGTTTTTCGTCATGGAAAATCCAGTCGGTTTTGTTGGCTCTCGTTTCTGCGCAGAGCTTGTTAGATTGGGTTTTTGCTTTTCGAGGATGTTGGAAAAGGTGAGGGGATGAGAATGACAGAGGGTGAGAGGTAGGTGTTTGATATCGCGAATTTCATTTTGAAAATTGTTTTGTGTATGAGGCACTTCGAAATTGTGGATTTTGTCGTATACCTGTTGGTAATGCAATATTATTTAATATGAAAAAAAGAGGAGAGAATATGAGGATAAGGGAGGGTGAGAGGGTGAACAAGTTTGGGGAATGATAGGATGTATATTTTTGGTAAATGCATATTTGATATCCTGAACTTTATTTTGAAAATTGTTTTGTGTATAGGACATCTCAAAATTGGGGATTCTGCCATATACCCATTGGCAATGCAATATTATTTAATATAGGAAGAGGGGGGTGGAAGAACATAGTGAGGGGTTGATTGGACGTTTATTTTTAGTGGATAGATGTTCCATATTCTGTACTTTATTTTGAAAATTGTTTTGTGTATAGGACATCTCAAAATTGGAGATTCTGTTATATACCCATTGGTAATGCAATATTATTTAATATAGGGAGAGGGGGAGTGGAAGAACAGATTTGAGGGTTAATAGGACGATTATTTTTGGTAAATACATATTTCATATCCTGAACTTTATTTTGAAAATTGTTTTGTGTATAGGACATCTCAAAATTGGAGATTCTGTCATATACCCATTGGTAATGCAATATTATTTAATATAGGGAGAGGGGGAGAAGAAGAACAGATGTGGGAGTGATAGGACTTTATTTTTGGTAAATACATATTTGATATTCAGAACTTTATTTTGAAAATTGTTTTGTGTATAGGACATCTCAAAATTGTGGATTCTGTCATATACCCATTGGTAATGCAATATTATTTAATATAGGGAGAGGGGGAGTGGAAGAACATAGTGGGGGGTTGATTGGACGTTTATTTTTGATAGATAGATATTCGATATCCTGAAATTTATTTTGAAGATTGTTTTGTGTATAGGATGCCCCAAAATTGTGGATTCTGTCATATACCCATTGGTAATGCAATATTATTTAATATAGGGAGAGGAGGAGTGGAAGAACAGAGTGGGGAGTTAATAGAACGGTTATTTTTAGTAAATACATAGTTCATATCCTGAACTTTACTTCGAAAATTGTTTTGTGTATAGGACATCTCAAAATTGGAGATTCTGTTATATACCCATTGATAATGCAATATTATTTAATATAGGGAGGGGGAGAATGGAAGAACAGAGTTGGGGGTTGATAGGACGTTTATTTTTAGTGGATAGATGTTCGATATTCTGTACTTTATTTTGAAAATTGTTTTATGTACGTGACACCTTATAATTCTGGATTCTGTCATATACCCATTAGTAATGCAGTATTATTTAATATAGAGAGAATGGAAGAGGCAATGAGGATAAGGGAGGGTGAGAGGGAGAACAGATTTGGGGTGTGATAGAACATTTATTATTGGTAGATACATGTTCAACATCCTGAACTTTATTTTGAAAATTGTTTTGTGTACGTGACACTCCAAAATCGTGGATTCTGTCATATACCTATTGGTAATGCAATATTATTTAATATATATAGAGAGAGTGAGAGGAAGAACAGATGTGGGGGTGATAGGAGATTATTTTTGGTAGATGGATATTCGATATCCTGAATTTTATTTTGAAAATTGTTTTGTATATGGGATACCTCGAAATTGTGGATTTTGTCATATATCCATTGGTAATGCGATATTTAATATGAAGAGGGGAAAGGAGGTTATGAGAATAAGGGGGTAATATGACATTTATTTTTGTTAGGTAGATATTCGACATCCTGAATTTTATTTTGAAAATTGTTTTGTGTATGGGACACTTCGAAATTGTGGATCTTGTCATATATCCATTGGTATTGCAATATTATTTAATATGGAAAAAGGAGGAGAGGCTATAAAAATAAGGAAGGGTACTGGGGTGATGGAACGTTTATTTTTGATAGATATTGGAAAAATTCGATTACCAATGTTAAGATAAAATACGAGTACTTCAGCTCGCAATGATTTCACGTTGCTAATTACGATTTCTTCTTACCTGTTGCAGGTGTTATCCTGGTTCTGCAAGAAAGGCGAGGACGTGCTATCGAAACACGGGCAGCACGCGGCGACGAGCCTAACAGCAGCACGGCTTCACGAGAGAGAATTCGAAAAGTTCTACTTCACGTCGATGGTGAGTACTCTGAACTGCATCTACATTATATATTTTCTTTCGAATAATAAGCGATCATGCGTCGAATCGTATTCTCGCGGCGGGCAAAAACGGAACTGCGTTTCGAATAAAAATCGACTCAAAAGGCTACAGTGTACGAGTAGCAACTTATTAAAACTCAGGTTTTAATACCTTAGTCGAATAAAAAGTCATAGTAGGTATTATGGAAATTGGGAAAAATTATTATAGTCGTGAAAATCGAAAATTCGTTTTTAATAACCTCAGTGAGCAAACTGAAATTCCAGGACAATAGCATAGTGTCAGTAGTATAGTTAGAACTCCCTATTCTAAAAATTTTATTTTACTTTTTCTTTTCAAAAGAGAACCCTCAAAAGGAATAATTAGTTCTTCAATAAATTAGTAATCCCAATTTTCGAAACAGAATTTTGATTTTTCTATTTTAGGAATATACAATCTCATACTGAGATGATTTTATACGTAAATGTATATGTGGAAATAATTTTGCGACCGATGCAATAGTTAGCAATAGGCGTGATTAATAAGTCGGGCAAGGTGTATTATACGAAACGTTAAGATACGGGATACATGGAAAGAAATATGACGCGAGGTTCCAGAGGGTTAACTGGTTAATAGAGATCGCTGCAATTTGTTCTACTGGTTACCCAGCGAGCTAGGAAGCAGAACGGTGATTTTGAAGTATAGGCGAAAGCCTGGGTGCTGATGGGAGCTTGGATCGTAGCTAACCGTTTCAAATAATGGGATCGAAAGCAGCACGGGATCAGCCCATATATGTCCGGAGATTTCACTTTTTTCACGTCTCATCGAGCCTTTCGTCACGCTTCGATACGGAAGAAATTCCGTGGAGAGTCGGCCGAAATGACTGAAAGATAATAAAAGGCTTCTCTTTGTGGCCGATTGCAAGGATCACGGGCGGTTTCGCACGCTTCCTCCTTCGGTTACCGACCGAGTCGATCGGAGAAAAGGTACACGTGTTCACGAGGTGAAAAAAAAAAGGATGAAAAAGGCACGAGGAGCTGTATCAGTGTTGGTTTTCAAGGAAGCTGTAATATGGTTATTAGGCGCTCCATAGATTGGATCCGATCGGAGATAGGGATTTCATTCGGACCGATTTAACAATCGTAACGATGACTTTCGGATTTCGTTGGATAGAAAAGTCGTGAGAAACGGTTCGATCGTAGGCTAGGTAATCGTGCGTGCCACTGTTGCGAATGTGATTTCGATGCGAGAACGTGTTTCCGTGTGAAAGGAGTATTTAATTTCTTTTTTCTATCGTTCACCGTGCTAATATATCCGGAACGATTGGAAGCATTAAACGTGTAAACATTGAAGAGTGACGTTAGAATGGTCTGCTAGTCGACACTACCTTACCGACAATTGTTCGGTCGATAACGAAGCCTCTGCCGTCTCAATTTCTTCGTCGAAGACACTTTAATCCTCGCGTAGTCCGATTTTACATAAGAGTCGCTGTTTAATGTAAACATAGAAGCCTCATAGAGCGAAAAAGTGTGTACGAAGTGCAAGGAAACGTGTGTGCATAGACGAACGATCGGGAGGGATCGGTAAGTCGATTTCGCAGAGAAGTGGCGCCGCCTGTCGTGGCGCGCGCGAAGCAGCGGCCTGCAATACCGACCGCGGCGTGCCGCGTAAATTGAAATAGCCTGGAAAGCGTACGCGAGCTAATGGCGGCTATTATTTTTACGTCGTGACTCGAGGGGACTATTCAAACGTTGGAATCTCATTTGCGCCCCGTAATAGCCTGATCGAATCGTGGCCATTAATTCGAAGACGCGAAAGCACCTCGCCTGTAACTTTCGCAATTAGAAACGTACTCGTCGGGAGTCGATTAACAGCCGCAAGCCTGAGTGGATAGCAGTGTCTGGTGTTATCAATCGATCGTGCAAGCCCGTGTCCGGCGACGACGCTTTCCGTTCGCTGATAACGGGGCCAACGCGACAACGTGACCTCCAGTTCCTGCGTTTCCCATTTTCTCGATAGTCGATCGCAAAAGTGCCGGGGGGAACCTTGAATCGCAATTAAGTAAAGGTATACAGGAATGATCTATTCGGTCGACTTGTCGCTGACTTATCGGCGAAACGTTTATCGCGGCGAACGTGTCGTGAGTGGAACGTTGGCCAATAGAAAATTTCACTATTCGACCCGTCGAATTTTTCTCGTTTGTAGGCTTATATATAGTACAGTCTAGCATAATATAGCTATATTTTGCAATATGGCGGAAAATATCCTTCTTTTCTTTTCCCTTTAAAAATTTTTCGTAGATGTATTTTCATCTTGTTTATGACTGTACCTTACCTAGATTTACATCTCAGGGAACAACCCACGCTCCAAAAATAATTTAATAGGTATATTTGTATACACAGAGTTCGTATTTGCACGTGGATATATTTAATCTAACCTTACCCTGGAAAAGGGCGAAAATCTTTTCGAAATGAAAATCGGGAGCAAGTCTCCTATCCTGGCTCTCGTCAATTAACCAATTTGCACCCGGCTTTCTCTCGACTTGGTACCGCCCTGTAAGAGGCCGAGTGGGAATAGGGCGCCATATTGGTTGTCGCTCAATTAATCCGGCAAATGGGCGATCGCGGGACAAGAAGCAGAGATATAAATCCCGAAGGTTGCAACAGCACGTTAATTAATCATGTGACACCCACTTCAATTATCCGCGTTTCGTGCAGTCGTTGCAGGTTGTTGGATCATTATCCAAACCGCGTCGGACGTTCGTTCATGGCCGCGCATCGGCCCAATGACCCCCATTGGCACCCTACCTACACGGCCCTGTCATAATTGTCAACGACGATCGAGAAGACCGTTTATTTGGGTCGGTGGAACGGAACTGGAACGTATCGCCGATTTATTATTAAGCGATCGCAGCGCCGCGCCGCGTCGAACCGCGCCGATATTTGGAGCGGCCGGTTAATTGTGAGACGTCCAGTTAAAGAGCGTATCAATCGAAATGATCGTAAATTAATTCGACGATAAAGGTACCGGTCCACGTGGACCGGTTCGATGTGGATGAAAATAGGCCCGGCGCACGTCGCGCCAACCCCCTGGTCCAGATGCATCTGTTTAAGGTCAGGTAATAAGCGCGCGGGTTCGTGTGAAAATTCGTTTCGAAAGTTATTTCGTGGACGGTCTCGAAACGGCCGGGAGATGGCAGTCGAGTCGATTATCTTCGTCGCGATTTAATTTTACCGTCGGGACTCGACAAAGAGGTTATGGTCGCGATACAACAACCCCTATACCAATGGCGTCTTATACAACGGGTCGATGTTTTTAGTTATTCCGATGTACTTTACTTAGTTCATAGATTTGTTTGAGGTTCATCTCTGGTAGGAATTTTCATATGTAAAATATTCTGCGCGAAAAATTAAAGAGGAAATGTGGAATACGATTTTTTCGTGCGAGCCGCCGGTTTTGAAGAAATTCAGTTTCAATTTTTGATGACGCACCATACATAGAAAGTAGAATGTAAATGCACGGCTGGTTTGAAATTGTTCACCAATTTGGGGATATTTGTAACGACGAATGTGAATAGAAGTAACGGGTGCAAGAGGTTATGGTCGCGATACAACCACAATAGCGTCTTATTCGACGTGTCGATGTTTTTAGTTATTCCGATGTATTTTACTTAGCTCGTAGATTTGTTTGAGGTTCATCTCTGGTAGCAATTTTCATATGCAAAATATTCTACGCGAAAAATCAAGGAGGAAATGTGGAATATGATTTTTTTGTGCGAGGCTCCGGTTTTGGAAGAATTCAGTTCCAATTTTTGATGGCGCACCGTCCATAGTGAGTAGAATGTAAACGCACGGTTGGTTTAAAATTGGTCACGAAGTTGGGGATATTTGTATCGACGAATGTGAATAGAAGTAACGGTTTGCAACGTGGGTGCTTATGACGGGAGATATTTGAAGCACGCAACCCATCAAATATTTGAGGTCAGTTTCTTCGAAAACCGAGCCACGTACGAAAAAATTTTATTTCACCTTTTCGATTTATTTAAGAGGTTAGAAACGTTTTACATCTGTTACAAAATGGTGTATAGTATACGCATACCATTCACAAGATATATTAAATTTTGACTAATACCAACAAAGGAGGAATGACAACAAGCATATAGCAACACTGAAATCGTAGACATCTCGTAACAATTGTGCCTCGATTAGATGCCCACTCATCGATCAACATCGATCCCCACTACCCAATCACAAAACATCGTTACCTGATCTATCAAATAACCTCAACACGCATCGAGCGTCCTCCTCCGTCCAGAATTTTTACCTAACCTAGCAATCACGCATAAATCATCATACCCAATCATACATACCCATCATCGTCATCTCGACTGGAAAGCAATCGAACTCGCGACTCTCGTCGCCATTAACCAACAGCTCTCGCTTTCCGCGAGCGCGAATTTCTCCGAGATTCTTGGAGTGAAAGAGAACAAGAACCTCCAATTACCCCTCCCCTCTCCTCTGACCATCGTATCCCTAGATTGTCACCCGGAAGGTCGACGGTGTTCCGTCGGAGTACGAAGCGGTGTCGCGCGCCGGAAGTGCGCGCTCGGCCACCGACGCGACGGCGTTCCGCTAACCCAATTACGCGGCCGGCGGCCAGGAGGCGCTGCGGTCGTGGCGTGAATAAGAAACAAGGCGGCCGCGCGGGCGTTTCAATGGGCCGCGCGTGAAATCACGGCCAGCGTTCCCGAAAAGGAAAACGTTCACGCCCGAATAAGACCCCGCGGATTCTCCTCAACGCCTGTCGATCTTCTTTACCGATCGCGTGAAAGTGCACGCGGTTTTTCGTCGACGAAAATATACGTCGGGCCGAATCGGTGGCTGGTTTTTTCGGATTTTTCGGGTAAAAGTGGTTCCCGGGTATTGGTTAATTTTTGGGTACGAGTGGCGCGAATGGTCGCCTTCTTGGAAGTAAAAGTGCGAGGTATTTTGTAACAGCTTGCG